ATATCTTGTTCATGTTAACCTAAGTTGTGCAAAACTTTATATGAGCACAAGGAAAGAATTTACTATATATCCTGCTGTTATTTATTCTGTAGTTGTTCCAGAGGGAAGTACTTTGGAAACAAAGCAAGGATACATGTTTCAAACAATATCAAATAGCGAAAAGTAACCAGCATATACCCAAGAGGAATTCATTTAAGAAAGAAAACATTTCAGAAAGGAATTGTACCGGAGAAAATAATCACAAAACAAAACTGTCGACAAGAGAAGCAGCCAGTCCTTTCTTTGTCACTAGATTGGAACCTGGCTGTAGACACATCCTCTGAGGTATGCATATCTGCAGCCTTGTAGAGAAACTTAATACATATATGTTGAATGATTACTTTAGATATGACTGGTTATGTAGCATCACATTATAACCTGGCCTAATTATAACCTTACACATGATAAAGGCAGCCATTTTGAACTCATAACATAGACTCTACAACCAATGTCCATGTTAGAAATTGACACTGCTACTTACATGTTCTGTGATCTTTCAACAAAGTTGTTTAATCCCTATATGCCTCAATTTCCTCATATTTAAAATATGGATAATAATATTAGTTGTCTCATACAGTTATTTTGATAATAAAATGAGCTATAATAGATAATAGTCACCTGTTTGCTAGGCATTTAGAGTAATATTTGTAGTCAATCAATGTTAAATTAAATTTTCTGTAACATAAGCAGCTTCCTTCCTTCCTTCCTTCCTTCCTTCCTTCCTTCCTTCCTTCCTTCCTTCCTTCCTTCCTTCCTTCCTTCCTTCCTTCTGTGCTTCCTTCCCTCCTTGCGTCCTTCCATCCTTCGTCCCTCCCTCCATTCCTTCTTTTTCAGAGAACTTGAAAATCACTATTTAAAAAAATAATTCTTAAGGAGGTGTTCCTTTGTACAAATACATGCTAAAACACCAAATATTTCAATAACTATTCTAAAGAAACAAAGCAACTATCTGGCCTTCTTGAAAGACAAAGACTATATGTATCTACCACGCTGAACTGTTTTGTTTGTCAAATCCTTGTCAATTCATCTTTATTCATAAACTCCGTTTTTCACACTGAAAGGTGAATTACAAAGTCATTTCAGTGTTATTTTGAAGTCACCCTGGTATAGACACGTACTTTATTTATTAATATGCCACCTACTCTCCAAGAAGTCTTCCTTTGATAGATGAGTATTTGCAAGTTTCATTATCTTTCATATTTCACTTAAGTTTGCCTCATTTTTCTTTCTTTGTAGAACTTTATTTACATTTGCTCAGGTTTAATACTTTAAGTTTTTATTCCTTCCTTGCCATGCAATATGAAGTATGAAACAATTGATAAATTATAGAATAAACCTATCTTAATATTAATAGCTAATGTTTATTGCGTATTCACTATATGCCAGGTTTCAATTATATATATAATTTATTTGTATACATATAATATTTTTAATTTTTTTATAATTTTATACTATTTTTAGTATTCTAAAAAATCTCACATCCATGAGAAAAGGATAATTATTATCTCTGTTTTTAGAAATGAAGTAGTGGAAAATCAGATCAGAATAAGAAACTCAATTTCAGGGTTTTCCAGGAAAACATAATTAGTTGGATGGACAGATAGATAGATAGAGATGACTTATTTTAAGGAACTGGACTATTTAATTTTGGGAGCTGGTAAGTCCAATTTCTGTAGGGCAGGACAGGAGACTGGAACTCTCAAGTAGGAACTGATCGTGCAGGCTTAAGACAGGATTTCTTCTTCCTCAGGGAAACCACAATTTTCTTCTTAAGACCTTTTGATTAATTGATTGGATAGGGCCCACCCACATTATTGAGGCAATCTCTTTAAAGTCAGCTGGTTGTAGATACTAATCTCATCTACAAAAAGCTTTCCCAGAAAACACCTACCTTAGTGTTAGATTGAATATTATAGCCTAGCTGAGTTGACATCTAAACCTAATGTTTACAGGAACTTATGTAAGATCACAGAACTAGTAACTGAGAGAGGAAAGACTCATACCCAAGTCTGTCTAGTGACAAACTCTCTGCTTCTGATCATCCCACAGCATTATGGTTAGCATAAACTATCAAAATATCCACAGGGAAACCTTCAGATACACTGTCTTTGGCCAGAAGGGATGACCTTTCACCCAGGTAAGAGGGCTCCATGGACCTTGAGGCTCTGTGTGTGACCTGGGGTGTGGTTAAGTAACCTGAAGAGAAAAGCTAATCACGATGATCTTATCTCAAAAATGAGCTCTGGATAGGAGCTCATTTTTCCTCTTCTTAAGCCAGCTTCCATAAGGCAAAACATCCAACCCTTGCCCTCTTGAATAATTACAGGGAGAACCTGAGGTAGTAAATGTTAAATTCATTGTAGTGATAAATGCAGAGTGGCATGAAAGCTCAGGAAACTCAGTTGTCCTCCTCTGTGTCTTGATCCAAACGAAAGAATGAAATTTAAAGCACTTTTCTTGTGAAATAATCCTCGTAGGACAGAAAATGTCATCTCTGTGGGTCCAATAGTGTGTTGAGAAAGGGTACCTTGCGCTTCTTCAGATAACAGTTATTTTAACAGTGGTTATAGAAAATAACTACATATGTAAATCTTCCTCTCTGCCTTAACCACGGCAAAAGCTCAGATTAGGAATTTGTTTTTGTTTTTGTTTAAAAAAAAAAGTTTTAGAACTTACCACCAGTATCTGGGGAACTTATCCACCATTTACATTCTCTGTGGCTTATTTTTTATCTACCTTAAAATTTTTTGCTTATCATGTCACCTTGAACTTGCACAGCACTTCAGTTGTTTTTCTTGTTTACTTGTATTTTTTTTTTTTTTTTAACATGAAAATGAAATGATATAGAGCATATGCTATCTCTGTAGTGTAGTAAGATCAGAAGGCAGACTTAGGTCCTTATTTAAATCTTAGTATGTAACATATGTATATGTTGGTTTTAATAGTCAAGTGTAGCCCAAACATCAGTCATCTTTTAATAGGTTTCAGGAGAAGTTGTTTTGTCATTAGAGAGCCTTCATGAACATATTTGGCTATTTTTACTAACCCCATCCCTCCAACCTGGGTTTTCTAAAAGAATTACATAAACAGTCACACATTTATATAATCATTTCTATGTTACCAGTATACCTTTTTATATCATCAAAGGAAGAAACAGTCTTATCCCCATTTCCTTTACAGAGAAGCTGAGGCAAAGGCAGGTGAGGTGGCTCCCCTAACCATCCTGCTACATAATGGAAATCATTTTGAAAGCAAAAGTTCTTTTAAAACAATTTTTGAGCAAATGTTCTGGAAAAGGAGATTCAGGGGATGCTGAACGGGGAAGAAAAAATTTTTGGTTTGATTTGAAGAGAAGGTGGTGGTTTATTGCTGATTACACACAACCCACAAAAACCTTCAGCTTTCAGATCAGATATGGCACCCACCTTATCTCATGTGACAAAAGTCATCCTTGGGCCATGCTTATTACTCTGTATCTACCAGCAAATACCATTGCCCTTCATTTCATTGTAAAATAAACTCCTGCCTAGAATGACCTATTGGTAGAATAAGTGTTAGTAATAAAATAAAACTGCATATTTTCCCCTGTATTTATGTTATTATATGAATTATTTCTCTGTTTGCCTTGGATGGGATGACTGCTATAATATTTGTTTCATTTGCACTTTGAAAAAATTTTAGCCTGCTACTCATACTCTTTTCAAAGTTTTGGTAAGAATTTTCTAATTTATAGTTGATATATGCACAATGTAGAAAATTTGGAAAATAAGGAAATAATAAAAATTGGAATATCCTTAATACCACCACCAGAAATGATCTCTGTTAAGATTACATAGCTTATATTAATACATTCATTTTTACAAAACCTGAATTATACTATACAGAGTTTTGAATCCTGCAAGTTCGTTTAAGACTGTGTTTTGATTACAATCTTATACTGTATTCCTCAAATATTCGTTTTAAGGACTGTATTTTGTTCCATTGTCTTTTTCTTTTATATAGTAAAACTAATTTCTTCATTCACCTGGCATTCTGGTATTCTCTCACCTTATTTTCTTCTTTCTGCATTAATCATTTTTTTGCATTAAACCTTTATTTATATGTCTTAGTGTTTTCTTAAGATAGTTTAAAACTATTGTCTAGATATAGAACACCAATGTATATTTCTACCAAAAGACTATGACAAGTTTTATGCCTCCCTTGCTGTATAGTTTAATTTTCTTAAATATTTTTCTTCTTATAGGGAAGTTATAATCTTATTTTCTTTTAATTTGCAGTTTAATTACTTAATGGAGGTAATATTTTCGTGCTTATAAGTGATTTATATTTTTTCTTCTCCCAATTTTTATTACTCTTTGCTTATGTTTCCATTGAAAACCTAATATGTTCCTTATTGATTTTGAGAACGTTTTATACAGTAAAGACATTTAATTATTAGAATATTTTCCTGGTTAAAAATTTTCATTTGAATTCATTTATATATTTTGCAATTTAGCAGTGGCTGAATTATTGTGGTAAAATACATTGTATTTTCCTTTGTTTTTCTTCCATTAAAAAAGAAATGATGTTACTTATTCAGGAATTAGATAAGTATGTACCCATTTTTAGGTTTTTTTAAATTTAGTACTTTAATGTAGCTGAAACTGACTTATTTATGACATGAAGAATGAATATATCTTGATTTTTCCCTATAATATTATATATATTTATGTGTGTATATACATATGTTTCTATATATTTGTAGGTATATATTAATGTTTGACTTATGATGTATAATTGATTATATATTAAAGATATACAAGATATACTCTGAGACCTGGTACATTTTATATTGATTTGCTTACAGATTTTTTCCTCTAATAACCACATTATTTCAAAGATTAGTCTTCTTTTTTGTTTCAATATCTAGTAGGAAAAGCCTCTCCTTTTAGTAATGATATTTTATAAATTTGATTAATTAGGTTTGCCAGAACCCAATAAGGATGCCATCTTCCAAGGCCTGACGCAGGACCAGGGGTTTTACACATCCAAAGACTTTTTGCCACTTGTAGCCAAAGGCAGTAAAGCAGGTATAACATATTGTGTTTTATGATTAATATTGAATATCCTATTTTATGTATTATAAATTTATATCAAAATCAAGCTCAGCAGGACATTGTTCAGATCTGACACCCATCCTTGCTTAATACCCCAATGTAAAGTTAAAAAAACCAAAAAGGCCAGATATAACAGTTTGCCAGATTGTCTGTTTGTTCATTCTTCCAATAAAGCATCATGACAAGGAATTTCACTGTATTATGTACAGGTCTCAACTACATCATGAAAACTTGCTTCAAGGTAAGCAAGCCCTTAACAAACATTGGAGGATGTTTTTCAAAGAAATGGCAGTATCTTCACTTTGGGAATTATTTTAAAATAGGATGAATCATCACATATCTTGCATGATTTGTATCTACACAGGCAGGAAGATTGACTGTCTTTTCTTAAACAGTAATTTTATGAAGTTAAAGTAAAATATTTTGATAGATACCCTATCACTTTATACACCCCAAGAAGAACCACCTGAAGTGAAGGCTGTATCTTGCTTTGATTTGACCAGAGTCATTGTCTTAGGGGAAAGTTCTAATATTTTCTCCAAAGCTAGAAAATCTAAATCCCTCAAACATTTATTTTTAAAGAGCTCTGAGCCACAGGTATCCTTACACTAATTACATGTGGAAATGATACAAACTTTTATTTTTCTCCCAGAATTTAAAACAGTAAGAAACTTTCTATATTAAATTATTCTTCAGAAGTTTACAGCTAAAGAGGTGTACCCTCTCCACCTTCTTCCTACTAGTAGAGCTGGATGTTTATATGCCTGCATCCTTTCTGAGGAAGGTCATAGTGCACCTAGCATATATTTGAAAATTATAGTGTCCCAAATAGAAAATCTTCCAAGCAAAATGATTACATTTATTGAAATTGTAGGTTTATTCTATTCTTGGTACCATTTTAAAAATTATAGTAATTTATCTTAAGAACAGTTTTATTTAATCTGATTATACAGTGTGACCTAACACAGAGAGAATACCTGTACTTGCATTTTACTTTTTTACAAGGATCTTCATATGGACACCAAATCATCATAGAGATGACCCTGAGAAATGGATGCTTAGAAAGCCATAGTTCTTTTTCTTCCCAGTTTTACAAATGAAGTCAGAGGAAAGTAGTAAAAGGGAAAAGGTTTATTTGAACTATTCCAAGAAAATAGTTCTCAGAAATTCTTCAGTTACATTAAGGACACTTATTCAGCATGTTAATATTCAAAGTTAGCAAAATATATAACAGAGCTATTTGTTAGAAATTATATAAGGCAATATATTAAAATGTATTTTAATGAAATATTGCAAACTATTAACACAGATCATAAGAATCACTATTCTCTTCTAACAAAAAGAAAATTATGCCAAACTAACGATACATATCACGATTTTGACAGAGAGTTTTAATTGATTGATTCCAGTCTGTTCTGACCTAAATTCCTCAAAATGTGTTGTAGCAATCCTAGAAGGAAAAAAGAAGCTAAAGGTACTCACTATGAAATTACATATATGAGCATATTTTTTAAATGGGAATAAAACTGTCTTTCAATGAAGCAGAATAATTTGATAGTGACACTTCATCCTGGAAAACTGCAAGATGCAATTTTACACTGCTTTGAGTACAAGTATCTTTTGAGCTGTCATGCAGAAATGGTTTCTCTACTTGAAAATGGGGTTTTCCTTTCATCATTCAGGAATGTGCGCCTGTCACTCTCCATTGCCATCGATACGGGGAGCCGTGATTGTACTCGGAGCTGGAGACACTGCCTTTGACTGTGCAACATCTGCGCTACGTTGTGGAGCTCGCCGTGTGTTCATCGTCTTCAGAAAAGGCTTTGTTAATATAAGAGCTGTCCCTGAGGAGGTAAAATGGAACCATCAGAAAATACGGAGTTGTACTCCAACAGATTTTAGGAGATGGAACTGTTAATGTTTAAATCACTAGAATGTTCTTGAAATTGTCAGATTCAAGTTTAAAAATTTCTAGGCTACACTTGATTGGTTTTTTTCTAATTCAGACATTCTAAGTAAAAGAAAATTTGTAATACCGATTTGGATAAAATGAGAAATTTAATCTTTGTTAATACGCAAGTGCTTCTTGTTAGCGTTAATATGTTTAAAATGTGTTCTATTTAACTAGTAACAATAGAAAGTGCTAAGTCTTCCATATCCTGAATAGTAGGTACTCTTCACAAAATGTATGCATATTAGAAGAATGGGGTAATAAGACACATTCGGGATTTTCCATAAGCCAATTTACAAGCTGCATCCAAAGATGTATACCTTCATCATGCTTTCAGTCAATTCACTATTTATGAAGCAAATACAAAGAAAAGGGTGCCACATATATTTTTAAAGAGTTCTAGTATAAGCACTACTCAAAATTAACAGTTAGTTAACACACTAAAAATAACATGTGTAAAATCATTTCAATCTTGCCAGGGACTGGTGACTAGTCTTGGGTGAGGTATCATCAGCTATTTACATGTACTACAGACTTCTCAAATTTTAATAGTATTAGAAAAAGATAATATCTAGATGAGTATTAGTTCTGAGAACAAGAACCAAATGTATTTATAAAAAGATAAATTACTCATTTTACTCAAATCAGTTTAATGAATTGACTTGCTTTGGAATGCCTGAACATGTTTGGAGTCTCTATACTAGGCAAGAATTATAGCTATAGTCAATGGGTAATTTGTCATATGTAGATTACTCACATTACAAATTAATCTTACCAAAACATCAGGGTCACCATTGGTTTATGACTGAGTTTCAGTTGTCGTGTTCATTCCCTGGACTTTTCTCCATCCAATCTACCCTTTTTAGATGTTTTTCTAAAATCCAAGGTGGTCTTATGATCATAGGAGTTTTTTTCTAGAATGTAATCTTAGGCATTAGTTAGTGTAATCATGTTTGTTTTACACGTAAAAAGAAACAGCCGTAGTGGCATTAAGTGAAGGACGGGAGTTAAAAGAGGACAGGAGCTAACTCTATTGATCTCTATATTTTTGTGGATAGCAGAGGACCTGGCACATAATTTGTACTTGAGAAATAGGTTTTGAACTAAATATTTTAAATTTTAAGTCTTATTTTTCTGATTCCAATGTCAGAAATGTTTTCATGACCAAAGGCGATTTCTTTAGGGTTGGAAGATGACCCTGATTTGCAATATAAATTAACTTCACATTTTATATCATAGTCATCTTTCATTTGCAAGGGTCACTGGAAATGAATGGTGGCTATTTCTTCTGTCTTAGGTAGAACTAAGACACAAACAAACTGAGACCAGATAATTAAGAGGGTAGCGGCAATGGATTCATTCATTCATTCATTCATTCATTCAATAAGCCTACACTTATTGAGCATTATTATGTACCAGGCATTGTTCTGGGCAATTTATATACAACAGTCGGCAAACCAGATAGAATTTCGTGCCCTCATGGAATTTGTATCTAATGGGGGAAGACACCCAATAATTAAATTATAACATAAATAGTATATTGAAAAGAAATTAGAGCTGTGGAGAAAAATTAATATAGGAGTATAATGAGTGTGTGAGAGAGGTGGAGAATGGTAGAAGAGAAGGCACGATTTGCCATTTTAAACAGGGTGGCCCTGGAAGACCTCTCTGAGTAGATGATTTTTGAACAAAGAGATGAAGAAATTGAGGGAAAGTAGGCATCCAGCAGATGAACATTCCAGGCCAAGCGAAATGCCTTCATCCTTTATTGAGGAAGCCTTTTGGACTTACGGAATAGAAAAAAGCACAAATATGATCAGAATAGCATAAGAGAGGACAGAATGTGACAGATGAAGTGTTGTAGGCATTCATGAGACCTTTAGCTTTTGCTCTTATTGAAAGAGAAAAATCTCTGGACTGCCTTGAACAGAGAAGTGCCAAGTTCAGATTTAAATTTTCAAATGGCTACTCTGCTGATAATTGACTATAGTGGAGTGGGGTCAGAAGCAGAGAGGCTAGTCAGGGGCTAAGTAAAAGAGTGAACTATTAGTTAATATGAGTAGATTACAAGAAACAAAGGATCAGAGTAGAGGCATTGCACCTTAGAAGGCCAGAGCTCAGTTGCCTGAACCTTGATTAGCAAAGTTTTAAGAAGCAACAGATCTTTGAGATAATAGGTAACTTGCCTGCAGTAGAGCTTAGTAGAATTCAAGTGGACCTGGTCTTAATTAAAACTAGAAGAACAAATGTTTAAATGTTTGATTTTTTTCTATTATTAACTTACAGTTAACCAAAATTTTATATGATGCTAAAACTACTTGACCTTGATCTTCATGAGAAAAAGGGCCATGATCATCTCTCTGGGTCACTTTTACCTTCGCCCTGTTTAGCACATTGGGTGCTACCTATAAATGATTCAACAAATAATTGTGGAATGAATGTTTGCTCAAGGGAATCAGCACCCAAGGCTTTTTAGCATTACAGGAACTTATACCTTCCAAGTTAGATAAATGTTATAGCATTAGGCCTTTGAAAGTTAATCTCATAATTTTAGGAAAATTTTCTCAGAGAGATTCAGTAATAAATAAGTAGTGAATTATCAGATTATGCAAAGTTTTCAGGATTGGTTCACTTACCAGAGCCAATACCATGTAAGGATTGAGAACTTTTGGCATTCGTAGAGGTTTCAGTGTTAATCCTTTATGACCGTTGCTTGGTTTTGTATACATCAAAAGAGGAGCCAAAATATTGTAGTGCTAACACACATGGGAAGGTCAGGAGAGTAGAGGTCCAATATCATGTATCTACTTCAAGATACAGGTTTTGAAAGGGTTTGTCTAGGACATATTTTTTAGCCAATATAAAGAGTTTAATATTTGACCTAATTTTTTGGGTACTTGTCCCTTTCTCCTACGTCGTCTCGCCTGGTACAAACTTCAAACATATTTGGTTTCTTTAGAGTCAGTGAGGATTGAGGAACAGGGACATTTAGAGTTTTCCTCAAATATGTGTGTTGTTTAATGGTCATGGACTCTTGGGTGTAATTTAGGAATAACTTGGTTTGTCAGTTAGTAAAATACCTCATCATTAGTCATGTCAGCATGTATATGTTAAATGGTACAGCCTAATTCTTGTTCTTTGAGTGAGGAAAATATAAAACAAAATAAAGCTTTCTTATTCTTTAGTGGCAAATACGCATTTTGACAGATGCCAGTTGCATTTAACATGGTGTATTAGTCTATCTTCATACTGCTATAAAGAACTGCCTGAGACTGGGTAATTTATAAAGGAAAGAGGTTTAATTGACTCACAGTTCAGCATTGTTGGGGAGACCTCAGGAAACTTACAATCATGATGGAAAGCAAGTCACCTTCTTCACAAGGTGGCAGGAAGGAGAACTGCTGAGCAAAAAGGGAAGAGCCCCTTATATACAATTGTCAGATCTGTGAGAACTTATTTGCCATCATGAGAACATCATGGGGGAACTGCCCCCATGATTCTCTCTTGACAGGTAGGGATTATAGGGATTACAATTCAAGGTGAGAGTTGAGTGGGGACTCAAAGCCCAACTATATCCCATGGAATTGTTTGAGACTATATATAATATGTGGTTAGTATCCAAGAACTATATGTGTAGACCCAGGAATGTTTTAATCCGCAAAAGTAGGAGACATCATCCAATAGACTCTGTAGTGACAAGCACATCTCATTTCTCTAATGCAGAGGTTTTCAAACTTAAGGGTGCATTAAGTCACCTATAGGGCTTGTTAAACACAGATTGCTGGATCCTGCCCCAGAGTTTCTGTTCAGTAAGTCTAGGGTGGCCATGAGAATTTGCATTTTAACAAGTTTCCTGGTTATGCTGAGGTTGCTGGTCCACTGCTCTGATGTATCATCAACGTGCTTTCCAGCTGTCTAATTAGAGTCATGAACGGTGTGCTGTGTGCAGGCACTTTCCATCTTGGCTAAGAAGCATTAATGCTAAGGGATATAGGTTTGATGAAATGAAGATATGCGGGCATCATCAGCATATTGATGTAATTCTAATTCCAAATGTCTTTCCAGCTCCCTTGTGGCCTCACACACATGCTAAATAGGATGCTACTGACAAACTAGCACTTCTCAGCCATAGGTCCTTAGGGAAACCAGCCAATCACTCGGCACTATCCTCTAAGAAGATGGGGGAAAATCTGTTAATAATTCCCTCCAGTACTTTCTGCAAGCTTAAATAGGTGAGATTAAATTTCACAGGATAACAGAATCCCCCAAAATGCTGGTATTAAAAACTGTTGACAGATCAGATAGAACTGCAAGAATGCTTTAGGCAGTTGGGAATCCCTAAAAGAAGGCATGAAGGTCAGGACTCAACAGATCTGCTTGAGTTGATAAATTTAAAGGAGAAGATTAGGGAAGGACCTTATAGTTCTTATTAATTATTACTGAAAAACGTATGGTTTCAAAATTACCTTTAATAGCACAATCTTGCATGCAAAGTATATTTCAAGAATCTGTTCTTCACATATTGAATTTTCCAATAACAGTGAAATATGATTGATGTTTAATTCTGCTACATTTTTATGGGATCTCCATGCTACTCCCTGGGACCCCTTGGCTTCCATTTATTTGTTTGTCAAGATACTAACTGATTTAACTTGAATATGTCAGTTTTTAGGTATTTTAACTATTGAGAGGGTTAACTGTTTTGATAATTAATGAATTTTATTATTTTAATGAGAAAAATAATGACACCAGATTACCTAGTTTGTTTGTCAAAATTTTCTTCATCTGGTACTATAACTTTGAAATAGCACATCATGTAAAAGAATGTACCTTTTAGCTGAATTTTTCCATCACCACACAGCATACCCCATAACAGATCATTTTTGTGACATGACCTATAG